TGGGCTGCGTAGTGGATGACAGATATATCAGCTTTACAAATCTTATCGCTTGTAATGATGCCTCTAAGGATTAACTAACTACTTTTATCACTCACACCATTCATGTTTACAGGAAGCCCACATCTGTAATCACAAATAATTACAGAACACTACAACATAAAAAAATGTGAAAGAAGGGTGTCAAAGAAAGTTCCCTTTTGCCCTACCTTAACTGGCAAACTGTAGTTAAATATCACTAATGAAAGTAATAATAATAATAAACATTCACAGTTATTCTTTTAGGACAATGGAATTCTGGAAAAAAAAATAACTATCGTGCATTTTATTTTATCTTTGCTATCCATATTTGCATTTTAAGAACACTAGCCCTAATTTTTTTACCCTGTACTGTAAAAAAAACTAGGGATACTTCCTTCTTTGTGACAGATGAGTGATGTTTAACTTTTTTGTTGTTCCAGGATGGCTGAAAAGTGCAGTGACTAATATAGATGTTCATATCTCACTGCTCCTTCGCAGTAAGATTTATTATACAAAGCAGTGTTTAGGTAACCCCATATCTGCAGTGACGTGTTTCACATCCAGCTTTTGTGCTGTAACCAAAGCTGAATTAGTAATAATATGGTCACAAAAAGTGCATGGTGTACATGCATGTGCATTTTTCGATATATATTTTTGCAGACATTTTTATTTTCAATATGTTTTATTGGAAAAAAGGAGAAGAGTGCACTTTGTGATCAAATGTAAAGTTACAGTGGTTCATATAGTAACAGTACAGTTTTGTTTTGCCTTGAATCTTTTGTAGCAGTACATACAGGTGAAACTCGAAAAATTAGAATATCGTGCAAAGTTCATTTATTTCAGTAATGCAACTTAAAAGGTGAAACTAATATATGAGATAGACTCATTACATGGAAAACAAGATAGTTCAAGCCGTGATTTGTCATAATTGTGATGATTATGACTTATAGCTCATGAAAACCCCAAATCCACAATCTCAGAAAATTAGAATATTGTGAAAAGGTGCAATATTTTAGGCTCAAAGTGTCCCACTCTAATCAGCTAATTAAGCCATAACACCTGCAAAGGGTTCCTGAGCCTTTAAATTGTCTCTAAGTTTGGTTCAGTAGGAATCACAATCATGGGAAAGACTGCTGACCTGACAGTTGTGCAGAAAACCATCATTGACACCCTCCATAAGGAGGGAAAGCCTCAAAAGGTAATTGCAAAAGAAGTTGGATGTTTCCAAAGTGCTGTATCAAAGCACATTAATAGAAAGTTATGTGGAAGGGAAAAGTGTGGGAAAAAAAAAAGGTGCACAAGCAGCAGGGATGACCGCAGCCTGGAGAGGATTGTCAGGAAAACCCATTCAAAAGTGTTGGGGACTTTCACAAGGAGTGGACTGAGGCTGGAGTCAATGCATCAAGAGCCACCACACACAGACGGATCCTGGACATGGGCTTCAAATGTCGTATTCCTCTTGTCAAGCCGCTCCTGAACAACAAACAACGTCAGAAGCGTCTTACCTGGGCTAAAGAAAAACAGACCTGGTCTGTTGCTTAGTGGTCCAAAGTCCTCTTTTCTGATGAGAGCAACTTTTGCATCTCATTTGGAAACCAAGGACCCAGAGTATGGAGGAAGAATGGAGAGGCACACACTGCAAGATGCTTGAAGTCCAGTGTGAAGTTTCCGCAGTCTGTGTTGATTTGGGGAGCCATGTCATCTGCTGGTGTTGGTCACTGTGCTTCATTAAGTCCAGGGTCAACGCAGCCGTCTACCAGGAGATTTTGGAGCACTTCATGCTTCCTTCCACAGACAAGCTTTATGGGGATGCTGACTTCATTTTCCAGCAGGACTTGGCACCTGCCCACACTGCCAAAAGCACCAAAACCTGGTTCAATGACCGTGGGATTACTGTGCTTGATTGGCCAGCAAACTCGCCTGACCAGAATCCCATAGAGAATCTATGGGGCATTGCCAAGAGAAAGATGAGAGACATGAGACCAAACAATGCAGAAGAGCTGAAGGCCGCTATTGAAGCATCCTGGTCTTCCATAACACCTCAGCAGTGCCATAGGCTGATAGCTTCCATGCCACGCCGCATTGAGGCAGTAATTGCTGCAAAAGGGGCCCAAACCAAGCACTGAGTACATATGCATGATTATACTTTTCAGAGGTCCGATATTGTTCTATGTACAATCCTTGTTTTATTAATTGCATGTAATATTCTAATTTTCTGAGATTGTGGATTTGGGGTTTTCATGAGCTGTAAGCCATAATCATCACAATTATGACAAATAACGGCTTGAACTATCTTGCTTTGCATGTAATGAGTCTATCTCATATATTAGTTTCACCTTTTAAGTTGCATTACTGAAATAAATTAACTTTTGCACGATATTCTAATTTTTCGAGTTTCACCTGTATTCTTGTCTATAGCTAACAAACTTGACATCAGAATGAAATAGTAGATCAGAACAAAAGTCAAACAGTTGTTAAAACCATAGAGGGTTATGTGAAAGGAAGGGGTGGGGAATGGGGTGTGTCCTGGAGCTACAGTGGAGAGGTTTTGGTCCCAACAAGAAAAGAAGGGTAAGATTTATAGGTCTATCAAGATCCATGGGTCCCAGTTTTTCTTAAATTTCAGCATTGAGTCTGTTCATTTTGCTGTTAACTTTTTGCTGGAAAATGTGTTGTGAAGTCTGGTTTTGATTTCAGTCAAGGAAAGAGTAGAAGACAGCCAAGCTTTTGCAATCATTAGTTTGTGGGCTGTCAGGAAATGCCACGTAGGTCTGAATTGATGTTTTGTGAAGCATCTGGTTTTAAGGTTGAGTACAGCTTCAAGTGGATTCATGTGTGTTGGGAGTAACATATTATATACACGCTTCCATAGAGATTGTACAACCAAGTGTAAATATAGTCCTTGTTCTGCGCAACCTTTGAAGCAATGTCCTGTACATTGTCCAACTTAGAGTAAAAGCCAGGGCAGGGAGCATATACCAATGCTATAGAACTTTAGAACTGGTTTTTAATGGTAAGGCAAATTGAGAACATAGCCTTGGTTAAAAAAAAAAAAACTCCTCAAGGTGGCAAACGATGTGTTTATATTATTCCTGGGATTGAAGATTAATAATGAATTTATTGTTAATTTTTTTATTAGTTTTAATTTTTTATTACATTTTTTTCTCTTTTTTTAAGATTTTTTTTTTCATATTTCACTATGACCAAAGTAGTATAATGTTACCATAGTAACATTGTACTACTTTGGGGAAGTGATCAGTATTTTTTTTTTTTTTAACACAATATGCTTATAGCAAAGAATTACTTTGCTATAAGCAAGCATTTACCTGAATGACGTCGATTCATTCAGGGTTTTTTTTTTGTGCTTAGCTGTGATTTGGCCATGGCTAATCACATGACAAAGCTGGGCTGTGATTGGTCCAGCTTGTGCATGTGATCGCTGTGACCATTCACAGCTAGACACACTTGTAAACAATGGATGGCATGAAAGGAAGCCATCCATTGTATACAACTGTCATGTGACCTGCTGTGATTGGTCACAGCAGGTCACATGGTACTGGCAACGGGGCCGGTACACAGATCTGTCATCGGCTGTTACAGAGGTACATGGCCGGTGACAGATCGCGCCACAGAGCAGCCCTGCAGGCAGTCGCACTGCATGTGCCTGAAATAATGCCATATGGCGTCCACCCAGAGGGACAAGGTGTTTTGCCGGCCGCCATCTGGCTATAGGCCATTCGGCAACTGGTTAATCACCTGCAGATCATATCTCAGTAAATCTACTGTGAGCGGGTGGCAGGTGCAGGCATGACAACATATATGTACATTGCTGGATTTTTTCTGGTTTGTTCTGTGGCTTCTCTAACTGGACTTTGCTGCAACATTCATCTGGATGTACCTCTATTCATCTATTTATAAGTAAATGTAGCGCAGACCCCTGATGAGCCCCACAAATTTATCTCAGGTTCTCTTCCCAATTGGGTGCACATGCAACCAGGCACAGAATAACTCGGACAGTTTCATAACTCAATGCAGACAACAGAAGCACAAGCAACTCTAGGAATCCAAGTAAAGGAAAGGTCCAAAATCAACAGCAATGGAGCAGATGCTCAAAGAGTTAGAGCAGAGAACAGTCACTAGGATCCTACACTCAGGCCTATACTCACAATGTACTTGGATGTCTCAGTCAAATATTGGCCAGACACCTCTCCCGTGAATTTTGCAGGCCAGATCCTCAGTGAATCCCCTTGACTTGGCTCCAGCTATTTTCATAAAATAAGCCTCCCAGTTTTTACTGAGCTGGGACCTCGATGAACTTCTACAGACTTCAGCTACACTACCCAGAAGGGCAGCAGCTCTTCCGGCTGGGATCTTCTTCTTCTGGACAAAAACCCTGCTGCTCCAGGCCCCCTATTTATGTACCCTCATCCACCTACTGGGCATTCTCTCCCTCAGAGATTGGCTAAGACTGCATAAATATTTAGGTCAAGGGTCTGCCTCTTCCAACCCAGTACATTCTAAACTCCACTAGAAGGCAGGGGGGAGCAGTTGAGCCTACAGCCAGTAAGTCCCAGAACAGCCAAAAATAATCACACACCATTCCAATGATTACAAGGAACTAAAGAGCTAGATTTACTTCAAACTCTCTAGCAACTTATTCCAGGAGAGTGCTATATATATATATATATATATATATATATATATATATATACCAGAGGTATATGTGCAAACTTCCACCAGGACTCCTATCAGGCCCTTTGCTAATAATACCTGTTTGTAAATTGGATATATGTACTGTTACTAATCTCTTCCTATATAAAGCTTGTATGATTTCTTTACTGGTGTGCATCTATATGCTTACAGTTAATGTTATATGCTAGTTGCAGTAATTCTTCTGTTTCCAATTACTTTGTTTAGATTGCTGATTATTTTCACAGGAAGGAGATTCCTTCTGTTCACACAGGGCCTATCCTGGATGGAGGCATATACACATTATATTGCCAAAAGTGTTTGGAACACTTGAATCCAATAATTTGGAGGGGTGTCCCATCCCCTGCATGGCCACAGGTGTATAAAATAAAGCACCTAGGCATGCAGACTGCTTCTACAAGCATTTATGAAAGAATGGGTCGCTCTCAGGAGCTCAGTGAATTCAAGCATGGTGCCTGTATTAGGTTGCCACCTGTGTAATAAGTCCATCCATGAAATTTCCTTGCTATTAAATATTCTACGGTCAACTGTTAGTGGTATTATAACAAAGTGGAAGCAACTGGAAACAACAGCAGCTCAGCCACGTAAAATGACAGATCAGGTCAGTGCACGAGGAAGCGCACAGTGTGCAGAAGTCGTCAACTGTCTGCAGAGTCAATAGCTAAAGACCTCCAAACTTTCTGTGGCCTACAGATTAGCACAACAACAGTGCATGAATGGGTCTCCATGGCTGAGCAGCTGCATTCAAGCCTTACATCACCGAATGCAATGCAAAGCATTAGATGCAGTGGTGTAAAGCATGCCGCCACTGCACTCTAGAATAGTGGAGACATGTTCTCTGGAGTGAAAAATCATGCTTCTATGTCTGTAAATCTGATGAACGTGTCTGGGTTTGATGGTTGCCAGGAGAACAGTACTTGCCTGACTGCATTGTGAGAAGTATAAAGTTTGGTGGAGGGTCCACCACATTCAGTTTTACGTACTGATGTCACTTCCGGTTCCAGGTATTGGAACTCACGCTGGCTCCAGAAAGCGGAGCGGCCGCAACTACATACGCTGAGTGTATTGGTGCTGAGATATTGGGCACATAAATATGTGAGTGCAACTTTTGTTTTTACTTCTGGCATTTTGTACTGTATATACAAAAAATACTACACTATGCAAATGTATCTCTTCTGGCATATGTTGATTTAATTCATGAGGAGAATTTGGGTGAGATTTGGAGATTTTATAGAAGAAAACCATTACCATTGAGTGGAAAATCTTGGGCTAACAAGTGCATTTGACCTTCCTTTTATTTAAGGGGTCATGGATCTGTGATGAGTGTATTGGAGTGGTACGTGATGGAGCACTATCAGCATATAGAAAGAAGAGATACTAATGAGCACTGCAATAATTTATTCACACGTTGTTTGGAGTGGGACTTTATCTATACTTTATGTAGTTTATTTATGTGATAGAGAATGTTTGCTTTTTCTAGCAGTACTGTATGGAAGTAGAATGTAAGCGCCACACTTTTACTGTTTTTTTTTCACTTTTTTTAAGTGTATTTAGCAGTATACAAGGGGCAGCTACATATTTTCATTATTGAAAGCAGTGTTTTGTATTCACTCTAGGACCTGTTAGTGCCTCTAAATATTTTTACCAAACCAATTAAAGTGATAAGTAAATAATACATAATGAGTGTGACTGGCTGCTGCTCTAATAAGGTTCTACACCTTTAAGAACTAAATAAACATAAGAAGCACTCCCTAGTCAAGCAAATCATCATTAATTTGTCATTATCCACATATATCCTCTCACAAAAAAAATCAAGTGCAAAATGGTGCAGTCTCTTAATGTGCCATGCAGTATTTCAATAAATTAGGTGCAAGTTCTCAGTGCTGTGCTCCCTGCCAGTGATCACCCTCACTCATTGGCAACTATGGACTCTTAAATGTGTATAAGAGCCATTAACGCTGGTGAAAACCCTGGTTTTGCTGGAGCTTGTAGTCCTCCTCTCAGTAACATTGTATCATAATGGATAGCGATGATCACAGGGATATGTGTTTCCCACATATAAGGGAAATAGTAGAAGGGACCCACATACAGTAGTGTGATACCATTTATTGTATTATGTAAATCAGTTACATTCTAATAAATAGAAAATTTCAGGCAAAATCGATGGACTGGAAGTGACGCCACGATGTGCATTCCACCAGGGATATGACGACACCAATGCTCTACAGCTGATGCATTTCACCCCTCCGACCTCTGAAGACTCCCAGTGGAAGGGGTGAAATACATCAAGCTCCAGGACACCAGGATATTCACAATTGCTTATGACTCCTGTACACATTTAAGAGTTCACAGTTGTCAGTAAGTGAGGGGATCTCTGGCAGGGAGCACAGCACTGAGAACTTGTACCTGATTTAAAGAAATACTGCATGGCACATTAAGAGTCTGCACCATTTTGCACTTGGATTATATTTGGGAGAAAATATATGTGGATATGGACTAATTAATATTGTGTTTATGATTCACGGTTTTTTCTTAACTAGGCAGCTCTTGTTTTGTTATTTATGTATATCTTCCATGAATTATCAGTGGTCATACTGTCCCTCACCACTGTAAATCAGACAGAAGGTTTCTTCCAAGCTTTGGCTATAGTACATTTGTCGGTGAGGATATAATGTGAATTTTCAATAATAATAGTATGGGGGAGCTTGTTCATGTATAACACTGAAGCACAGAGTCGTTTTGCAACACCAACAGACTTGCTTCTCCAATTGCTCTTTGTGGATACAGTCTCTTCCTCACAGCCACTAACATTTTGCATCTGTTCCTGTACTTTAAATGGTATCCTCTATATTTTCATAGTTATGATTTAAAACGTCTCTATATCACTGTATATTTCTGATGTAGTTCACACATTGGCATAAAGATATGTTTGAGACAACATTATGCTTTTATCATATAGTAGTGGAATGTGGCAGCACAGAGGTTCATTTATTCACCCTGACAGTAAACTCTACTACTCTGACCTTTTCAGCATTCCATACTGTGAATCATTGATCATTCCTAGGCCCCATATCCATAGTCATAGTAGCCAGACGAAATCTACAATCACATACAGCTAATCAAAATGCAGAATATTGAAAAGGTTAAGGATTGTGTTTATAAGTCTTTTCAAAGTTCATTGTATTTATTTAAAATTAGCATGACGTTTTTATATGTGTCTTAGCAAGATGAAAAAAATTGTTTTGTTTCTAATAGCAATTCCACATTTTAATTGATATGTTGATTTCATGCAGAGGGAGTATCCCAGGATGTCCTAAAAGAAGACCATAAATAATGTATGCATTTATATAAGGTGTTAAAATTCTATATTAATATAAGGTGTTAAAATTCTGGATAATTAAAACAATTAAATAGTTTAATTATAGTACGGTTAAATGCACCTAAATAGACAGCATCTCTGCTTTTTCACGTTTCTTTACAAAAACATTATTAATAATTATTAAAGAAGATTCAAAATGACAATAATATTATAGCTGACATTATAAGCATCTATAAGAAATAATTTTCAGCAATATATGTCGGCCTTACTCTTCAAATCCAGTATTGTATTATTTGCAATACAGCATATTTTAATCCTTATACAACAGATGAAAAATATTTGTATTTTGGCTTACATATATTTCAACATGCACTATATTGCCAAAAGTATTAGGACACCCCTCCAAATCATTGAATTCAGGTGTTCCACTCTCCTCCATTGTCACGTGTATAAAATCAAACCCCTAGGCATACCGACTGCTTCTACAAACAGTTATGAAAGAATGGGTCACTCTCAGGAGCTCAGTGAATTCAAGTGTGGTACTGTGATAGGTTCCATCCATGAAATTTCCTTACTACTAAATATTCCACAGTCAGCTGTTAGCGGTATTATAACAAAGTGGAAGCAAATAAGAACAACAGCAACTCAGTCATGTGAAATGCTGAAGCGCACAGTACTCAGAAGTCTCCAACTATCTGCAGAGTCAGTAGCTAAAGACCTCCAAAACTTCCTGTGGCCTTCAGATTAGCACAACAACAGTGTGTAGAGAGCTTCATGGAATGGGTTTCCATGGCCGAGCAGCTGCATTCAAGCCTTACATCACCAAATGCAATGCAAAGCGTTGGATGCAGTAGTGTAAACCACACTGCCACTGGACTCTAGAGCAGCGGAGATGTGTTCTCTGAAGTGGCAAATCACATTTCTCTGTCTGTAAATCCAATGGATGTGTCCGGGTTTGGTGGTTACCAGAACAATACTTGCCTGACTGCATTGTAGCAAGTGTAAAGTTTGGTAGAGGGGGGTTATGGTGCGGGGTTGTTTTCAGGGTTTGGGCTTGGCCCCTTAGTTCCAGCAAAGGGAACTCTTAAGGCATCAGCATACCAAGACATTTTGGACAATTTTATGCTCCCAACTTTGTGGGAATAATTTAGGGGTGGCACCTTCCCAGGGGCAGACTGACAACTCATGGGGCCCCCGGGCAATAGGGGATAATGGGGCCCCTGTGTCCTTGCCCAAACTCAAAAAATTCTATGAAAAAGGTACCAGGGTCATCTCATGGGGCCCCCTACTGACCCCGGGCCCTCGGGCAGTGCCCGAGTTTCCATATGGTCAGTCCGCCCCTGCACCTTCCTGTTCCAACATAACTGTGCACCAGTGCACAAAGAAAGGTCTATAAAGACATGGATAAGAAAGTTTGGGGTGGAGGAACTTGGCTGGCCTGACCTCAACCCAATAGAACCCCTTTGGGGATGAATTAGTGCGGAGACTGCAAGCCAGACCTCTTCGTCCAACATCAGTGCCTGACCTCACAAATGCGCTTTTGGAAGAATGGTCAAACATTCCCATTGACACACTCCAAAACCTTGTGAACAGCCTTCCCAGAAGAGTTGAAGCTTTTATAGCTGCAAAGGGTGGGCCAACTCAATCTTTTTCTGAAAATAAAAATTTTAGTCAAAAGTTGTTTGCTAAAGAACTCAATATTTTTTTAACTAATTGTAACACGTTGGAGACAATATATTAATACTAAGGATATTATTAAAGAGTCTCCAAATATTATAATCAATGGGGTTGATTTGCTAAATGGAAATAAGCTATTAACTTTACAAGAGAATTTGTACTTTGCAAGGGAATTTTTTCTTAGCTTAGTGAATGAAGTGAAGCTCTGCTGACATTCAAAAATACAGTTTTTTTTTATTTCCGGGCACCTGATGGGTATTTTTCAAATTGAATTTTAAAAACATTTAGTACACTGATGGAAAAATCCCTTGCAAGCTGAACAGCTTATTTACCTTTTGTATGTCAACCCCATTGTCTTAGAAATAACTGAACTTATTTTGAGACCTTGTGGATGCAAGCCATCATGTGATATCTTACAGTGTTTTTATACATTTGGATCATTGTAACATTAAGACACAATCCCTTAAAATACCTACTTCCAATGGGCCCAGGCTTCCATGCATCCACCCCCTAAGGAAACATGAAGATGGCAGCTTGGATCACAGTATGACAGCACAGAACATTGCTCATATGTCATTAGGTGAGCAGCATTCTGTGCTGAGGTGAAGAATGCTTATACACCACAGTAAAGGGGAAGAAGAAAATGCATGTGATGTAATCAGATCAACCAAAAAACCCATGTAAAATAGATATGTATATTTTTTTTGTGGCAGTTTTTTCCAAACTGGAGTTTCATTTTAATCATTTTGGCATTGCCACTCTAATTTCCTCTAAACCACCATTTATAATAAACTCTGAATTGTGTTTGCTCCTTTTCATTCAAGGCTGTGACTTTACAGGAGTACATTTCAGGGTAATTAGGAACTTACATAAGTTGAGTCTCTTAATTAATATTTGGGCAGGGGTGGACTGTTTTTTAACTCAAGACTGAGTACCCCAAAAGTTCTGTTTTATGGTTCACTGATACCTAAAAACATCCTATGGGAGGTCTGAACAATTCTCTCATATACTAGTGTGTAACTGTCAATAGGTAAGGCATTAATCTTTGCATACATGTGTCACTGCAGTATAAATGTAAAGTAACCAAAGTAACTTACCAGTGTCCTGCTAAACAAGAAACTTTTGCTGCCAAGCTAGCAAAATCATTCCAGTTGTTATTTGGCTGAAGAAACTTTGTCAAAGTTTCCATACGATGCCATGTTGCCAAATACCCATGACTGAGCTCTCTAGATTCTAATATCTAACTAATGACCAGGTGCTAATAGGATCTCAAATAGTAAATATATCTATAGACCTAAGATTATGGTAGCCCATTTTTATCGATTGGAGTTAGAATGGGAAACTATTGTAAGGCTATGAAAATATTGAAAAATCTTCAGACCTCCATGGGCTATTTATAAGAGTGAATTTTCCCAAGAAATGTGATTATTATATTTGTTTATAAAATTGTTTACCAGAATAAGCAGGGCCATGTTTCAGCAACACCTCACTGCACCTTTCCTGACCCCTCCCCTACTTCATCCCTTCCCTAAACCCCACATGCCTGCCTCTTCTCTTCCATACCTACACTCTCCTCTTTAATATCATTTTTTGGAAAGCTACATTCCCATGTCCATACAAATGGTTTTTACCACAAAAATAGGCCTCTTACCTCATATGATCAGAATAATTAGTGATCATGAAAAATAATAAAAACTCATATTTATAATATAATAATATTTCCCAAACAGAATCATCCTGTGAAAAAGAAAAATATAAAGCATATATTCACTTTACTAATCTATTAGTAGGGTACAGAATGATGTTCATTTAAGGTGTCTCTATTAAAATATAGTGTGTAACTATCACAAGTACATAAACATCAATATTACAAATAACTCCTTTAACCACTTGTCTCCTGAAGATTTACCCCCCTTCCTAACCAGGCCATTTTTTGCGTTACAGCTCTGCGTTACTTTGACAATTGCCCAGTCATGCAACGCTGCACCCAAATTAAATTTATATCCTTTTTTCCCACTAATTGAGTTTTCTTTTGGTGGTATTTGATTGCCTGTGCACTTTTTATTTTTTGCGCTATAAAAAAAAAGACCGACAATTTTGAGGAAAAAAACAATATTTTTACTTTTTGTTATTAAACATGACCAGCAAAAAAAAAATTAAAAATCAAATTGCATCATAAATTTAGGCCAAAATGTATTCTGCTACATTTCTTTGCTAAAAAAAAAAACAATACATGTAAATGAATTGATTTACGTGAAAGTTATAGTGTTTACAAATGGCGGTATAGATACTGGAATTTTTTTTTTTTTGCTAATATTGGCAGCGATCAGTGACTTATAGCAGGACTGCGGTGGGCATTCTGACACTGGGGGGAACTGACTTGGTATCACTGACATCCCCATATAGCGCAAAAAATAAAAAATGCACTGGCAATCAAATTCCACTGAAAGAAATCTAAATTCGTGGGGGAATAAAAAGGATGTTCATTTCATTTGGGTGCAGCGTTGCATGACCACGCAATTGTCAGTTAAAATAACCCTCAGAAGGGCAAGTGGTTAAATAAAGTTTTTTTGCATTTTGGTGTATTTGTTAATGCTACAAAAAAAGATTACCAAAACAAACAAAATTGTACATATAACTGGTTAAAAAATCTGAAAAATACTGCTAGAAAACAAAAAGACAGGAGTAACTTACGGTTGATTAGGGTTAAAAAAAAGGTTTATGAAGGTTAAATGGGAACATTCAAATATTTTTTTCCCTTTTGTGGCTGCTTAAACTGTCATTATCTGAAGATTAAAACACATGTACAGTAAAAGAATTAAACCAAGATATTACTACATTTTTATCAGTTAGGCCCACAAGCACTGAGGTTGATTTACTAAAACTGGAGAGTGCAAAATCTGGTGCAGCTCTGCATAGAAACCAATCAGCTTCCTGATTTTTTTTTTGTCAAAGCTTAATTCAACAAGCTGAAGTTAGAAGCTGATTGGCTACCATGCACAGCTGCATCAGTTTTTGCACTCTCTAGTCCTCCAACCTCCTGGGTCATGTCACAGGTTCAAGGAGACTGCAGGTCTATTCATAGAAACCAATCAGCTTCCTGATTTTTTTGTCAAAGCTTAATTGAACAAGCTGAAGTTAGAAGCTGATTGGCTACCATGCACAGCTACACCAGTTTTTGCACTCTCCAGTCCTCTAACCTCCTGGGTCATGTCACAGGTTCCAGGAGGCTGCAGGTCCATTCACAAAATGCAGCTTGACTCATACATGCACAATGGGAAGCAAGCTGCAAAGCCAAAAGAAGTCACAGCTGGCTTCCAACATCCAAGTTAGCAACACTGGGGACCCAAAGATCAGCAAAGAACCAGCCTACTGAGTACAATAATGTACCCTTGGACTGGTAAGTGCATGTTTATTAAAAGTCGCCAACTACAGTATTTGTTGGTAATGACTTTTCTTTTTTTTCTCAAACCGGAGATCCCCTTTAAGCAGAAATAAAATCCAGAGTCTCTAATCCTTATTCCCTGTATCTAAAACACTTAAAAGGGTTTGGCTTAAATTAAGCTTAATGGATTTTTTGGGGTGAACCTTATATCTAAGGTCTGCAAATAAAGCAATAGTGGTCAAAGGGTGCACATGCTGACATTAGCACCCTATAAGCCTTGAGCCACATGGATCTGTCACTGTCAGATGGCTTGTAACATTGTCCAATAATCCATTTATTGCTATTTGTATCTATATCTTATTCTACTCATAATTTGTTAGCACCATTTTAGCACAATTGCATTCTTCACTGACAAAGACATCAGTCACACTCACTTTTATATCACTAATCGCAATAAGCAATTGCTATATTTTTCTCATAAAATACTGATGAATACTTCAAAAGTGAGAAATTCGTAGCCACGAGCAAAAAAGATCATTGTGCTCCTGTTCCCCTGACAATGGTCTTTGTCAATGAAACACATTGGGATTGGCTTAATTGGTGATATCACTATGCCTGCCAGCTGATGGAGGAGCTGATCTTTTTAACGCTTGTGGTTTTGAATTTCCTGTAAGTACCTGTCTTATGAAATAAACATTAATCCATGGCAGTTTTACACTATGTTGAACATTGTTCCTTTCTAATGTTTGT